GAATTTTAACTGAATTAAATCTACCACAAGTCAAACAAATCTACCACAAAAGAGAAAACTCTACCAATTATATATAACTCTACCATGAAACAGATAAGTCTACCGCACGTATTGACTACTTTTTTCACATAAATCTACCGCTAAAGGAAATAAGTCTACCAACTCAGAAAATAAATCTACTTCATTGTCAATAAATCTACCGAAAAAGTCAACTATGCGAGAAAGTCAACGTTTTTGTTAACAAGTCTACCAAAACTTTTGACAAGTCTACCATTCATAACAACAAATCTACCGAAACATAATAAATCTACCTTTCATCGTCAAAACTCTACCAAGAAAAGTCTACCAACATTTAAAAACTCTACCAACTCTTGAATAAATCTACCATCGCCCTAATAACTCTACCAACAAAATTTCTGCGTTGACCAAAATTTCATAAGTCTACCACAAAGCTGGGTAGACTTATGAAATTTTTAGCGCCAGAATCTGCCTACGTGGCATTAAAAAAGTAATGGCATTTTCGTAATAAGGTTTTTTTCAACAAAGGCCAAAAGGGTGTTTTGGGTATGCTAGGTTAGTTTTGTAAAAAAAATAAAAGTGCGTCAAACCAGTTTTGTAAAAAAAATAGATACTTTCTAAGGTTAGTGTAGTAATCCTCCCAAAAAACATTGTGTCTTGAGTCAACAAAAGAATAATAAGGCGTAAATTTTTGACAAAATAGGGCGCCAACTAACGTGGCGGCCATTATTGGCTTGTTTTGTTGTCCAGCTATTTGCTATATTTTATATACTTTTTTCGGTGGTTAGATCCTTTTTTTAGTATTATTTTTTCTTTGATAAAAGGTTTTCAATCCTCTGTTGTTGTTAAGGGTTTATGAGAATAGTGAAGAAAATAGAGTATCGAGAATATTTTTCTAATATGGAACAAAAATGACATTAGACTAGTAACTTGCAAGGAGTTCTCTTTCTACTTTTTGGGTTTTGTGTTTTTTTTTTTCCTCAAAGTCTTGTAATGTTGTCAAACACGATGTATATGGCTCACCCTGGGCATAAGAACCGGAACCAAAATACCGAACCGGAACCGACCCGAAATTTTCGGTTCGGTTTGATTTCGGTTATTGCCTAAATACCCATTGGATCTCATATTTAAGATCCATGAATATCGGTTCGGATCCGGTTATTACCCAGAACCAAAAATACCGAACCGAATACCCGAAAATTATGTATAAGTTTGGGCCATTACTCATTAATATAAAACAATTAGTTTGCTACAAATCTAATATTGGCCCATTAGTAATTCAAAGTCATTTTTACAAAATTGATCTAGCCCATTATCCACAATTCGACACATATTCAAAGGGAAAAAAAAAGACATACACAAAACTATACACTTACACATGCAACTTATCGTTGTGAAAAAACAGTTTCTCTTTTTTCTCTCGTTAATACTTAAAAAATTAACTCTAAATCATTCAGAAAAACTGAAATCCCTAATTTTCAGTCGCTGTAGCATTTCTTCGCCGACACAGCCATCTGCTACGTTAAAAAATCAGTCGGGGTATGCTTTTTTTCCATCTCCTTCTCATCTTTGAATTTATTTGGGTTTGGGGTTTACTGTTTATAGCTAAAATCGATTTTGGGGCTAACTGTTTCTGTTTGTTTAAATTTTAAATTGATCTCATTTCCTCTTTGTTTTTTCGTTTTTACAACGAATTACTCTTGAATAATCGAGTCTCTAGAGTCTCTTCACTTAGAAATAGATTTAGGGTTTACTATTTATATATGAAATTCATATGATGTTAACTGTGAGTCTAATATCTGAGATTATGAGTGCTAACTTCTTCTTTGTTAATGATTCTAATAATTTTTTTAAGTCTTTTTGTTTTGTTTTTGCAGTTTCAGCTTCTTCTTTGTTATTTGGTTATTTTTGTTAACAAAATTTTTTCGGGTATTTAAGAACCGAAATCTTTTGGATATTTTACGGTTCTCATCCTTCATACCCGAACCGATCCGGAACCGAGAGGTACCGAACCAGAACCGAACCGAAAACAATTCGGTACCTATATGGATCTAAAACTTGAGAACCGAAATATCCGGAACCGTTCGGTTCTTACCCGGAACCGAACCGAATATCCGAAAGCCCATGGGTATATATGGCTTTTAAAATTCGAAGTAAAAATGTTATATAGCGAAAAACCACATTCACTTTTATCAATAGATGGGTTAGGTGGGTTTTTTTTTTAATTTTTGTTTATATTTGGAACAAATCGCCAAAAATAAACCAGGATAATACAAATACGTACTCACATATTATTTGGAGAGAACCATCGTGTCAGATATTGAAGTTTGAACTCCAAAATTCTCAGTGTCTCAATGCAAACGAGCTGGGCTAATTTACTGATCTGGGTACTTTGCTTGATATATCCTAACTTCAGATTTCTCAGGCCCATGATCTCTGGCTTATGCTGACCCTGCCCATGTGGCCATGTTATGGGAAAGAAAACCTGTTCCTGCTTTCTTTTACATTCAAAACTTGGATACTCTAAGCAACAAAATCCATCACATCTAGAAGAGAAACATTGAGTGATTTCCAATCTAACAAAATGTCAGTAGATTGCAGTCCAAGATATTAGAGTTTTGGGGATGCATGCAAATCAATAATAGTAAAGCAATACCCATTTAATTTATTTGGCATACAACATTACCAACTTGTTACTTATTTTAAGCTAGGACTTGCATTAATGAAAGTAAAATCGAATTGTAGAGGATTTAAAAAAAACATGTCCTATTGTACCAGCTCACCGGTTATGTTGAGCCTTTGCATCGGTTTTTATTAAACCGATGAATCCAGTCGGTTCATTTAAGACTAAACTTACATCAATTTTCATCATTCAGGAACCACTTCTAGTTTCTTGTTGCTCCATTTGTCCAACCTTTTAGAAGCTTCTTCCACCTGAAACAAACATAATATCCAATTTTTCTTGAAGTGTATCAAATATTCAAATCAATGAAATATAAATGTAGACACGTAGGAAAACGCATGCAAACTCACCTCTTTTACCCAATCTGTTCTAAACGTGACCCACGCTAAAATAACCGTTTGCATAACTGTACCACATATCATTCCTGTCCATATACCCTAAAAAATAAAAGTTTTAAATGCTATGATTAGTCTTTAATTAGTCTCATATATATACGATGGATAACCAAATAACTGAATGGTAATCAGTATTTGAATTTTGAAGTAATAATAAAGGCAAGAAAACTATGATCTTGCCTTGGCATCGAACTTGAAGTAAAAACCAAAGAGAGCTCCAAGAGGAACTCCAACGATGTAGTAACATCCGACGTTAACTTTCGCCACAAACGTTTGCCAACCGCATCCAACCGCAACACCTTTAATAAAAAAATTCCAATTGTTTAGTAAAAATAAAACTTTTTACTCTATACTGGTTTGCGAAATAAAAAAGGATTTTACCGGAGAGGACTGGTTGGATTCCATTGAGGACAAGCGTTAAAGCAAGAAGAGGGCAGAGATCAGAAACCGCGGCCGAGACTTTTTCACCCTCAGTGAACGCATAGCTCAAAACGTCACGGCACGCCAAAATAACAATGGCTAAGATCACGCATGTGATTAACGAATAAATGTTGACGATGATTACAGAAAACGCTGCTGATTTAGGGTTTCCAGCTCCAAGTTCATTGCTCACTCTTACACTGGATCAGATATTAATAACACCAATTTTTTACACTTACTCAAATTTAACTGGAGAAAAAAAAGCTCAGTGTTTTAGTGTGATTTAGCATATTTAAGTTGGTGTAAAATGTAAGAGAATTCATATACTTTTGAGGGGAATGAATAGGGAAAGAGACAATTTTCAATTTGATATAATTTAAAGTTAGAGAAAGCAATTTGGGGATTTGGCAAAAACAGACCTGATCGCTGCATTGAATCCAACAGATATCATGAACACCCAACCTGAAATCGTCATGCTAAATCACCAAAAAAAACAGATATTATATTAACCGTTATTGATTATGATTATACGACATTATAAAATTTCAACTTCTCACTTTTACATAAAAGTTCGTGATATTATATTATAAAGAAGCGAATTCTATCTTGTTGGTGCAAGTCCTATAATTTGAGTGGCTTCTTCTGTTTGGTAATGGAAAAAAAGAAACAGAACTTTTGGAGTAATAAAATCTAGTACGAGTCCCCAAGAAGCAATAGATCTACTACTAAAAAATTCTTTAACTAGTGGTCATAATATTGTATAATATCTTAGACAGAATAAAGAAGATGACATTTAGACGAGGAAAGGATGTTTTTGTTCGATTCCAAACAACAACAGTACATAATCAGATTCCAACGACAATATATTCATATATTAAAATGCTCATATAGAAAAACGTAAATTACTAATATTATATATTCAAGAAGAAGACAATAAAAAGAGGAAATGTGATGTGACCATAGTTTATGTCTGTAGCACAAGAAGAGTAGAAATGTGTTCGCCACTAAACTTTCATATCTAGCAACCAAATTTCGCTTTGTACTCCTACAAAAAATTTCCTTGTCTGCTTTTCATATCGAATGACATACTAAAAGCGTTGTCGAATCATTTCTACAATTATTCATCAGAAAAAAAGTCTATAACCATACGTTTTAACGTCGAATCTCAAGAAAGAAAGGAACGAAAAAGAAAACATTGTATGTATATAATTGCCAATATGTTTTAAGAGGAAAAGTATTTTTCTTAATCTACATATTATTCTCTAAATAAAGATAGAATATGTAAATTAATTATGTTAAACGAAATACAACAAGTCAAATATTAGTTTAAGGAAACAGTATCATTAGAAAAAAGACTTACCAAATGGAAAGAGAGTCAAGAGCAAGCTCCGGATTCTCAAGAAGTCCGGCGAGAAGAACCAAGATCTGAAAATACCAAGTCTCAAGACAGAGCATCACGGCGGAGGCGGCGGAGAGTTTGAAAAAACTCGGTAAACCGGAGAACGCCTGAACACTAAACCCTCTCCACGTGTCACGACACCTCTCGCTCATCACGATGTAAACAAACTGAGCCACCACAATAATCCACCACGAGAGACTAAGCACAAGAGACGCACCAAGAAGCCCCATGCCAAGCTTGTAAACAGCGAGCCAGCTCAAGAGAAGGTGAACAAAGAGCGTTGCGGTTGAGATGTAAGCGCTAGGTGCAACGATGCTCTGCGATTGGAGGAATTTCTGGATCGGGAAATTCACTGCGTAGGCAAAGATCTGAGGGATTAAACCATAGACGAAGAGAGACGCAGCGGAAGCTATCTCCGGCGATTCTCCGAGGAAAAGCAAGATCGGTTCGGAGAAGACGTAGATTAACGTGAGAAGAACGCCGGTGAGAGTAAGCAACACGGTGGATCTCTGTAGGTAAACGCCGAGCATCTCGTATTTTCTTCCTCCAAACGCTTGTCCACACAGCGTCTCCACCGCACTTCCCATTCCTAGCTATAAAGATTTTCCATAATTTCAAGATTTTCAAGAAAAAACAAATTCAAGATTTTCAAGATTTTCTTGCATGACGAAATCAAAACCGGTTTTACCATGAGACCGTAAGCGAAGATTTGGATTCCGGTGTTGCCGAGAGAAGCGGCGGCGAGTTCGAGGTTACCGAGGTGGCCGGAGAAGATTTGAGTGGACATGGACATGAGGTAGTTTATCATGTAGACGACGACGGCGGGAGCAGCGAGTTTGAAGAGAAGCTTCGATTCAATCATTGTGGCTTTGCGTAGGCGAAGAAACAGAGGAGTTTCCACGTCGGAGAGCACTCTCTCTAGCTCGCCGTTGCTTGATTCCGTCGACGGAGAAAGCTGAGGTGGCGGTGCGGTTTCATCGGCGTGAGGCTGGAGAAGCGGTTGTTGGTATAAGCCGGTGGTTTGAGACGAGTCCATGAATAAGCCGGAGATTCTCTCTCTCTCTCTCTCTCTCTCTCTCTCTCTCTCTCTCTGTTTATTCTTCTTTTTTGGAGTTTGTTATCACTTTTGAGGATGTGTGTTGTGAGGTCTTTTGGATGCTGGCGAGTGGCGGCTAGAGACAATTACAAAATTTTCTTTTTTCTGAAGATAATTACAAATATTTAATTACTGCTTTTTTGGGTCAAACAAAGCGTGGTCCTATCGAGTACTAACATACTATTTTTTTTAGTGCAAAAACCTAATATGGTGCATGTCATTAGTTTTCTATTAAACATTGAGTGTTCAATGGATTTGGGCGGAAAAAAGCAACAACAAAAAATTCGAAACCAAATTTGAATATAATCTCAACGATTTGTTATATGAATATGTGCAAAACCAAATTTGAATTTAAACCAAATGCATGGAAGAAGAGCAATTATTTTATTTTAGAATTAAAAATATAATATATTAGAAATCATAGTTGAAACTATACTAAACCAAACATATGAAGTTAGGTTTGGTAGTATCATTCATAAACCTGAAATTCCTAAAGTTCAAGACCTGAACTGAAACCGAATTAAAATGATAGTACAACTTCAAAGATGATATGTCATTCGACTTAATTATAGCGCGGAACCAACATCTAATATAACAAAAACAACTAAGATCCATCTCTCTAAGACATTATGATTTTGGAGAGACTGAGAGACATACGCATTATGCAAATCAAAAATAGTAAAGCAAAAAAAAAGTAAAGCGACAACCATTTTAATCTGGTATACAAATCACATCACCTACCTGGTATTTTTTTGTTTAAGCCAGCACATAATTTAATGAAAACTAAAATCGAATTGTAGAGGATCCATGTCGACCTATACATTACCAGGTCTCCAATAATCTTGAGCATTTGCATAGGTTGATACTAAGCCGATGTATCCAATTGGTTCATTGGATACCAAAAACACAAAAAACTTTCATCACTCGAGATTCACTTCTAGTTTCTTGTTGCTCCATATGTCCAATCTTTTGGAAGCTTCTTCCACCTGAAACAAACATAATATCCGAATTTTCTTGAAGTCAATCAAATCAATGAAATATAGATATAGACTCGTAAGCAAACGCAAACGCAAACGCGGTGGCTGAAAAATGTCTTAAGAATACTTGCCTCTTTTACCCAGTCTGTTCTAAACGTGACCCACGCCAAAATAACTGTTTGTATAAGCGTACCACCTATCATCCCCGTCCATATACCCTGTAAATTCAACAAATTTAAATGCTATCGTTAGCCTTTGATTAGACTCATAATAAATGCAAGGATCATTTATTAATAAACAAAGTAAAAAAAAAAAACAGGGAAAAATATCTCGCCTTGGCACCAAAATTGAAGTAAAAACCAAGGAGAGCCCCAAGAGGAATTCCGATAAAGTAGTAACATCCAACGTTAACTTTTGCCACAAACGTTTGCCAACCGCATCCAACCGCGACACCTGAAAACATAGCAAGAAATAGAATATAAAAATTGAAAACATTTGTTTTTTTGGATTTTGGAAATTGCGGTGTATGAAACAGAATGATCTACCGGAGAGAACTGGTTGGATCCCATTGAGGACAAGTGTTAAAGCAAGAAGAGGGCAGAGATCAGAAACTGCGGCCGAGACTTTTTCACCATCAGTGAATGCATAGCTCAAAATGTTACGGCATGCCAAAATAACGATAGCTAAGATCACACTTGTGATTAAGGAATAAATGTTGACGATGATTACAGAAAACGCTGCAGATTTAGGGTTCCCAGCTCCAAGTTCATTACTCACTCTCACACTGGATCAACATCAATAACACCAACTTTTTACAGTCACTCAAATTTAATTGGAAAAATTAAGGTCAGAGTTCAAAGTGAATTAGCATATTTCAGTGTATAAAAATGTAAGAATTCATTTATATCTGGTGGGTCATATACTGGAAAGGACATTTTATATAAATGATTTGAAATAAAGGAAAAGAAGTTGGGAGTTTTGGCCAAACAGACCTTATTGCTGCATTGAATCCAACAGATATCATGAACACCCAACCTGCAATTGTCATGCTGAACCACAGGAAAAAAAAAAACTAATTATATATAATTATATATCGTAAGAAAACGACCTAATATAGTACAGTATCTATCAACATTTATTGCTTGTGTTATACGATATTATAATATTTAGGCGCTTCATGATTAACTGTAATAGATTAATTCTCTAGATGTTTTCTTAGTGATAGAAATATTGATTTTCTAAGCTTTTAATATTAATTTGTATGCATTGTTATTAATTAATCGTAACCTTTTAATATATTAAAAATGAAAATATTTGGATGATCGAATTAGTATTGGCTTCCCCTCATAGAGAGAGAAAACTATATATTCATTGCTAAATACTAATTGTTTTTTTAATTTGTGTGAAGACTATAGAAAATTACTATTGTTTTAGGAAAGTTTAAAGGAAGAGAATGCTATCCCGACTTGGTGGAAGTACCGAAATTGGGTGGCTCAATCTGTTTGGTGAGACAACAAGTCAAATTTGTGTTACGAGGAAATTATATTTTCTTTATCTATATATAATTTTCTATGTATAACTTCCCAATATCTCTATCTATTACTTCCAGCTTATGACTACATTAGGTAAATTAACATATTCAAGTCAAATATCATTTTCTTATAGAAATATTTTTACCAAATGCAGTGTTGACAACAAAAACAAACAAAAAAAGACTTACCAAATGGAGAGAGAGTCGAGCGCAAGTTCCGGATTCTCAAGAAGTCCGGCGAGAAGAACCAAGATCTGAAAATACCAAGTCTCAAGACAGAGCATCACGGCAGAGGCGGCGGAGAGTTTGAAAAAACTCGGCAAACCCGAGAACGCCTGAACACTAAACCCTCTCCACGTCTCACGACACCTCTCGCTCATCACGATGTAAACAAACTGAGCCACCACAATGATCCACCACGAGAGACTGAGCACGAGAGACGCACCAAGAAGCCCCATGCCTAGCTTGTAAACAGCGAGCCAGCTCAAGAGAAGGTGAACGAAAAGCGTTGCGGTCGCAATGTAAGCACTCGGTGCAACGATGCTCTGCGACTGTAGAAATTTCTGTATCGGGAAGTTCACTGCGTAGGCAAAGATCTGAGGGATTAAACCGTAGACGAAGAGAGACGCAGCGGAAGCTATCTCCGGCGATTCTCCGAGGAAAAGCAAGATCGGTTCGGAGAAGACGTAGATTATGGTGAGTAGAACGCCGGTGAGAGTAAGCAACACGGTGGATCTCTGGAGGTAAACGCCGAGCATCTCGTATTTTCTTCCTCCAAACGCTTGTCCACACAGCGTCTCCACCGCACTACCCATTCCTAGCTATAAAGATTTTCGAATTTCAAGAACATATATGCAAGAAACAAGAATCAATATAGATTATAGATCGTTTTCAAGATTAGAGACATATACCATGAGACCGTAGGCGAAGACTTGGATTCCGGTGTTTCCGAGAGAAGCTGCGGCGAGTTCGAGGTTTCCGAGGTGGCCGGAGAAGATTTGAGTGGACATGGACATGAAGTAGTTTATCATGTAGACGATGACGGCGGGAGCAGCGAGCTTGAAGAGAAGCTTCGATTCAATCATCGTTGCTTTACGAAGGCGACTAGACAGAGGAGTTTCGACGTCGGAGAGTACTCTCTCTAGCTCGCCGTTGCTTGATTCCGTTCCATGATCAGCGTGAGGCTGGAGAAGCGGTTGGTTTACGCCGTCGTTTTGAGACGAGTCCATGAAGAAGCCAGGAGATTTTGCTCGCTTGAGGATGTGTGTGGTTTGTGTAGTCTAGTGTTGAGTCTTTTGGAGGGTGGCTAGTGGCGGCTATAAATATAGTCGTGATTCTCGCTTGAGGATGTATTTTTTTTGTTTGTTTTTTTGTTAATCAGGTATTAAAGATTAATATCTGATTAACAAACAAACAAAATTAAAGACATGCTCAAGCGAGAATCACGTTGTTTGTGATTGGGACAAAAGGACTTAATTTGGTGTTAGTGTTAGTGTAGTAGTCCACGTAGTTATTTTTCATTGCATATAATTTTTTTTTCTTTTTCCAGATTACGTATTGAGGGTCCCGCTCTAATTGTTCAAAATATAATGATTTAGGAAAGAAATATTTTTATGGATACGATTCCAAATACAATCGTTCCTAACTGGTTCTATGGTCTAATTCGCAAATAAATCTTGAAAAGTAACCTTTTCCAACGTGAAAATTCTATGAAATAGAATGTACTGTGATGGTTTGGTCTGATACGACACAAAAGAAAAACTTTATAATAAAGGATACACAATAATATCACGAAACATCATCAGAAAGTTAGCCTTTGTGAGGAAATGATCCCTCCTTTTACTCTCGTTTCAACAACTACCAGTACCACGTTTCCATAAATCGACCGCAAAAAGCAATGTGTGGACAGCCTTTTTTATTTGATGGATTTTTTTTTTTTCAAACCAATATATAAACCCCAACTAACATAGTCGGTAGTAATTTATGATATCAGAACCAACATTTAAGTAGAGGAGTTTCCCACTTGGAACCTAACCCAAATTTCTTGGTTGCTGAGAGCTTAGTGAAATATTCATTTTTTGCTGGGAGAGTTAATCCGAGATGCATGGAAAAGTGTTCATTTGATGAAAATCTGAGCAGAATATCCGAATATTTACGGCACTGTGATATATATATATGATATATCTATACTTTTAATTTGGTAAACAGAGTCGATTTGGACAGAGTTCCGTCTCCAACTATTTGTTAAATACTTAAATATTTTATTAAAGATTAAACTTATGTTCAATTTTATGATAACATACTTTCAAAAAAATTATAACCCTAGTTTCTATGCATATTTTGAATTTTATAAAGAAAAATTAATTTTTGAATTGGATCTAGTTTGGTTGATTTACTTACATATACTAGAAGAAGGTTTGTCTGGACTGAGATCCATGCATTTTTTCTATCATGGTTCAAGTTCTACTCTGATTTATGGACCATAATTTTCTTTCGAAAGGTAATAACGACAAGTAATACTATCTACATTTGGTTTTGTTTTTTTGTCAACTATCTACATTTGGTATGTTACTAGAATTTTAAATCTAGATTTTTCGTAATCGTGGTGTTAAGTTTTAAATCCAACATTTTAGACATTTTTAATATACAACACAATATAATAAAGGTGGGTTTTTCAGTATATGATCAATCATAGTATTCAGGATTTGCTTGGTTCTTAGTTGGATCGATCCGGTTCGATTCTTAAAAGATAACTTAAACCTCAAAAACGCTTAAAAACAAACTCAAAAAGTTTTTTCTTTCAGGAAGGAAAAAGCGTAACTGTCCCGCTTTTAGTATAAAACACAAAGAAAAAAATCCCACATTTTGGAGTCTTCTTCTTCGGTGGACTATATGAGGAGGGACATGTATGGAATAGAGAAATAAGCATCACAAGCGTCTATTATGGATAATTGAAGAAAATTCTGAAATGTGAAGCGTATAAAATTTCTGGTTTGTCCACATTTCCCGAAAATACTACTTCCAAGTTCCAACAAATGCATACAACTTTGGATTGCTTAAAAACCCATTCACGTAATCTGATGAAAGCCCATCTTGGAGTTCTCCAAAAGAATGTTAAGGCCCAAATATGGACAAAAAGTCTTAATTATCCGTTTTTTTTTTCAGAACTTAATTAACAAATATTTACAAGAAATGGAAGGGATCAAGAAAGCTAAAAATGGTGTTTATCCGATCTATTACGGGTACAAGTTGTCACCATCCACATGTCACGTATATATCATGTATACACTATCATGTGATGTTTTTTTTGGTCAAAGAGTTATGTATGGTTTTGTTGAATTTAAAATTATCCCGAACTACAAGCTATTATAGCATTTATTGACTTTCTTCTCATTTATGAAAAATGTGTGGGTGTAATCTAATTAATTGACATATTATAATAAATTTAGAATATTATATCAGCGTTTTAACGATTAGATTTTATTAGTTCAGCCTTTGTAAGTTTGTATGCATAAACTATGACCTTAACCTTTAGCCTATCTATATATCTGCCCATGGCTCGAAAGGACAATCTAATAGCTAAATATCATGTTACTTAAATAGGAGAATATAAACCTGAAGAAAAGACTGAGACGATGTATATAGATAATCAATGGATGCGCCATATGTTTTTTTTTTTTTCCAACACGCAATGAGCTCTAAACTGCAATGGAAATAATTGTGAAATTGACACCTAACCCCCATGTTAAAGACACTCTATATGAATTGTCAACTCTTTTCCGCGTTTCGGCCTCCATTTGTCTTTCTACGTATAGTGATGCATGGCCTACTTTCAACAAATCAGATATACGTCAACCTATATTGTTTTATTGTTTATAAGAATATTTTTAACAAATGCACTTAATAATATTAGTTAGTTTGAGTATAATTATTTGTTAATATAAGCAGCTATCTTATATCTAATTTCCTTTATTGATAAATTGAAATCGGCCGTTAGAGTTGGATTTGATTTGGTCTTTATTGACAACGATTTGATTTGGTCTTCATCTTGAAATCATTAATTAGACGAAATCTAATTTTATACGATGGGTTGTATGTTCTTTTTTCATGAAAAATCTTTGATGGATATAGACTTAACACCATACTTTTATTCAAACTAGATACCTTGGAAAATTTTGATTTATCATAATTAACCAAAATATGGTTAACTCTACACGTTAGAGAGGAGATTATTTCAATGACGCCGGACCTAGATTTGTCTGTGATGCTACATTGCTTTGTATAGAGAGATGATTTCGCCTTCATATGTATAATGATATTATAATTGGGGATTGAAATAGTATAGTATAAATCAAAGATTGGAAACCTTTCAAATAATGGCAGCTTCCGTCGAAAATGTAAATTCTCAACATCCAGATAATGGATTTCGACAACTGGATTCAAGACGACCGTTTATAAGCTGCATTAAAATCTTCTACACATTAGCGAAATTTTCATTTAATTCGTTTTGCCCAAATTCTTGTATTGGTAAAAAATCATAATTAAAAAAAGAGTAGTGAGCTTGCAAGACCTACCTAACCCGTACTCCGTTCACATGTCTATAAGTACATTAATATCAAAATATGTCAAGTAACTAACTAAACAATATCATATTTAAGGAACGATAATTAGTTATAGATTATGTCAGCGAGGGATACTATTTGAACTAGTTAGAGATTAAAAGACAACCACAGAATCAAAGGGTCATTGTTAGCTTCAATATTGTTGAACGGAAGCAAAAAGAATCTCACTATTAGATTTTGAACTGGTTAATTATGCTTACGCAAGCATGACACAGCAATAGGAAAACTTTTAAATGGGGAAAAAACTAAAGTATTTTAGCCCAAAAAACATGAATTCTGTAATAAGCAAAAAACACACAAACTTGTATTGACATAACCAATTTGGGTATCTCTTAGTCAACCTTAACTATTATTTATGAAGCAACAATCACTATTAACTGTTAGTGTTAAAATACAAAAGAAAATTACATGATAAAAGAACGATCCAACTATATAGTTTACATACTTTACAAACTGATATAAGATATAAACCGTGTTGTGACAGAACATCTAAGATAATAATTACGACACCAATAAAAATACAAAGTTCAGACCTCACTTAGTCGTTGCAATCGCTCCGGCGCATAAATCGCTTCTCTCATGTGCTCTCTCTCTCCTTCTCAAATGTATATATATACACAAACCCTCACCATCTCACGTCCCTCTATCTTACATTATTATATACATCGACATATCAATGGGGAACTGCCTGAGACACCACAATGGCCTTGCGGAAACAGAGAAAGACGATCTCAAACCCGAGCCGCCAGTTAAGTTATTGGAAGAAGGTAAAGAGAGTAGTATTTTGGAAGAAGAGAGTAACAGATCAGCAAATGGAGAATCTAAAGTGGTAAGGATCAAAGTTGTGGTGACAAAAGAAGAACTTAGACAAATCTTGGGTCACAAGAAAGGTATCACCTCCATTCAACATTTAGTTCATGTTCTCAAAGATAGTGGCAGAAACATCTCCAGGGTTTATGAAGAAGAAGAAGAAAAAGAACTAGGCGATGTAAGTTGGAGCCCTACGTTAGAAAGCATTCCTGAGAATCATTATTGAAATTTAATCATATCTACATTTAAGTATTTAACTAACTATAATCCATTTTCTTCACTATTTTTTTTTTTTACATATCCGAAGATGTCTGTTTATTTTGTTACTATGTTAACCAATGTTCCTTTTTAACCAATGTTCTATTAGAAACATTGGTTGTTGTTTCTTTTTTCCTCTTGTGTTTTTGCCCAGGATGTGTTGGTGCTTTCTGTTTTTGTTAGAGCACTAGTTTACTATAATATGTCATTATGTGTCGTATTATCTAAGCATTAATGAAGGAATTTTTATATGTAGTTAAAATATCAGAATCTTTTATCTACAAGGAAGTCTTCAAGTGTTTTTTTATCAGTCGATTCGAATTTAGAACAACTCACAAGCTAGTGATATCAGCTACTAAGATAGGATTATAAGAGCATTACCATCTTTCCTGAAGATTATTGCACGAATGTTTAAGTTCAAAAGGTATCATTTTTGATATGTGAAAAATGATAATACAAAAGCTCTACAGTGAGAAATAATGTGAACACTTGCTTTATTAGATTGTAATACAAGAGTTTATATACACAATGTTTAGCCGATCTAACTTCAGGAATAAGCTTATCTACTAATACACAATACTCTCAAATATCTTCCTATATGTCGTAACTATATGATATTATCCTCAATACTCTCATTCAAGTTGGAAAGTGTAGATTTCCAACCCCCAACTTGAACAAAAAAGTTTCAAACTGAAACCGTCCGAGTGCCTTGGTTAGAACATCAGCCAACTGTTCTTTGGTTCCAACATGAACGGTAGAAATGATCTTATCTTGTACAACATCTCTTACTTGATGAACAATCAGATTCTATATGTTTAGTTTTCTCGTGAAAAACCAGATTTGCAGCTATATGAATTGTAGACTTACTGTCACAAAACAAACGACGAGAAAATCGAGTAAAGTGTCATCATGGCATCGCTCTGTTTGGCCAGAACTCCGCTGGACTTGTTATCATCACCTGTCTTCACTTCAATTGCACAATCAGCCATCGTAACAATTTACCACCAAACAAGATCAACTTGATCACAAACTGAAAAAAAATAGAATTTGAAGTTTATGTCACCTCACAAGAAAAAAGAGCAAAAAAATCGTTATTTTAGGTTGATCTTGGTTCTGCTACCATGAGAAATAATGTGAACGACTTGCTTTATTAGATTGTAATACAAGAGTTTATATACACAATGTCCAACCTAATTTCAGGATTAAGCTTATCTACTAATACACGATATTCTCAAATATATTCGTATATATCGTAACTGTACGATATTATCTTCAGTATACAGCATGCAAACTTGTTACCACGAGTGACCTATAAAGTTACAGATGAGATAACAAAATGGGACATCAGTAGAAAAGGATTGAGTGAAATTTACATTACTAATCTTTAAGTAAGATGAAGCCAGACAAGATAATTTATTTTCCAGAAATGAAAATAATTTCTTTCCAGAAATTAAATTCTTAAAAAAAATAAAACGATACAAATATATATAGCCATAGCCAAGCCTCAGAGGCTCATATCCATTGGACCTTACAAAAAAAAAAAAAAACAAGCGGCTAAAATTAAGCGAGAAAACTGTAAGACTCATTTGTTATACAGACAAAATGGGCTTTTTCAGTGGACCTATAAATAATATAATCCGTTATTTACTGAATATACCAAACAAGAAAAGAAAAAAAAAATTATTTTCTTTCTTTTGTCAATAGAAAAAATAAACACGAATATATGTTTTGTTTAAACAACCATTTTTGTAATTTCGTTTTCCCTTAATTAATGTTTTGATAAAACATCATTGGAGCGGAAATTCTAAAAACTTATATATACTTTAAAAACTCGTTCAAGGTAAAACATGATATAAGCAATAAACATATTAAACATTTGTATGTATCGACGCATCTATACAGAATATATGTATGGCTTTGGTATAAAACGTGAATGAATATATAAATTGATATGTACATATCGAAACGTGTCAATAGCATATCTATTAATATTGTGTATGATTTGAACAGAAGTTTCACGTCGTCCACAAACGCATGCCAAGACAAGCTTAACAATAAAGAGTTATGGTCGGATGCAAGAGCTTAGAGGTTGCGTGAACAAATTGTATACACGAAATAGTCACGGAAATACGGATTTTCATATAAGCTTCATTTTATTTATTTATTGTGGAAACATAACTCGGAAAATTGATATTAGGTAAGACTTATTGACAGGTACAATAAGCATTTGGTATCCTAATGCAATGCACATGCATGTACGTTTATCAAATGTAGATTTAGACAAAATTTTAGACGGTCGAAATTGCAGTTAGGGCTTAACAAGAATAAATATATGTCAATACTTTATTTGAACCAAAAAAATGTCAATACTTTCAAGATTTATAAAATATATACGTTATAGAGAATAAATCTTATAGCTTGTATTCATTATTCATTCATTATACACGTAAAAAGAGAATGAACCTTAATTACTTGTATCATTCACATACGTTAATCAAGTCATTAATCTAGTCGTTAGTGACTTGTGAATTCTATTGAGTAGCTCTCCATAAAGATTCGAAGATTTGATAGAATCACCTTTTGTTTTTGTTTGGAAGATTAGTATTACTCTCTTAATGGGAAGTATCTTGATTTTCTTTCTAGGACTGGAAAATTGTACACGTGTTGCCATTGTTTTAATCATAAATTTTCTGGTTTTTATTGAGATAATTCATCTGGTTTATGGATATAGTTCGAAGTTCAAACCCTCTCTCTCTCTCTCTCTATATATATATATATATATATATATCTCCTTACGTTTACATGATGAATATTATAGTTTAGTGGTTTATATCTTGTAGAATACGTGTGTAAGTTATTGATAGGAATATGATGGAGTCACAAATGTTTATTGTGAGAAACCAAGCACGATTTATATATCGCCATGCATGGGAGATTAAAAAAAGGGGGTGGGGCAAATGTGGTTTCAAAATATCATTCAAGTTTTTTTTCTTACCGTCGCATTATTGTGGCTTTATTATTTTCTTTTTGGAATGACATGTGACACATCAAAGTTGGTAATGGTATAGATTCCCAAATAATCATCTTTTTTTGGTTTTTTTTTTGGGGGTTTCTATGTCAGTTTGATGATGAAATCTCTCAGTTTCTATTTCATACAGTAAAAAGCCACTTAACTTTTTCTGAACTGTCATATTACCGCATTGATATAGTAAAAACCAATTATGGAAATTTTTTTGTGACTTCAGTCGTCAAGAGTACGGATCAACTGATCACAGCCATTTTCTTGTGATATTATTCGAGTGCTAAAATTTCCAAATCTTGTTACACTGTTAGTTAAACAAACTGAGAACTAGCTGTTAAGATTCACGAGATTCTAACTTAAACCAATTGATAATAATTGGATTTCTAGATGAGATCTTTTTTTTCTAGATGATATATTATTGTATAATTGTTACGAAGTTCTTAGCAAAGATATAATATATGTTTCTCGCGAAGAAAATATCAAATCAATTAGAATATCCTTTAGAGTTAGTATAACATATCCGATTCAATTATAGACTACGTGTTGAATTAGCTATGGCTGGCCTAGGTGGGTAGTGGGATTGACCCACATAACCTTAATAATGGCACGTTAATATATAATATCAAATCTTGATTAGAATCACTAACCCTCTGGAGAAACTATGGAAACGTTTGAAAAGACTAAACCCTAAATCATCGCATTTACTTAACCAACCCACTAAAACTAGAATCAGATACCAAAATAACTACAGAAGAGTACAATATATGAGTTCCGGAATCTATTCGAAGAACACGGAACACACAATTCACTGTATCGAGTGTGAAAGTATAGTTCACTTGGTTAAACGACTATTTATTTTAGAAATATTAAATTCTTGTTCATGAATTTGTAGTCTCATGGCGGCGAGCACAAAAATAATCGAGAAACTTTTTAATTAAATATATAGCCCATGGAATTCAGGATCCTTTGGTTTCTAGAAAACAATTCAGATTCAAAACTATATGATTTAAATATATCGCATGGAATTCAGGATCCTTTGATTTCTAGAAAGCAATTCAGATTCAAAACTATCGAAATTATATACTTTAACTTATAATAAGTATTTAATTTATAATAATTAGTATTAGTATGAACATGGGCACATTAATAATTTAGTAGGGCCAATGCTAATGTTTATGCAGAGCAATTGTTCGGTGAAAAAAAAAAGACATCATGACGTCCACAAAGAGAGAATGCAACTTGTAGTATTGTACCTTAAACCTCCACTTTACCTTAACCATTGGAGCAAATTTCTATTTTATTTTTAGTTTTAAATGTAATTTGACTCATGTTACTAAGTGCTAAGATCATGTCGAGGTATCAATATGTGCAGCTTTTTAGTCAGTGCTCTCTATCAAAGCAATTAATTATCTTCCTCCTCCATTGCGGTGACTGTTTAATTTACTTCTTAATTCACCTTTGTAAAGTCACTTACGATTATAGTTTTTTTTCTTACCTATAAAAGGGGGGAAAATATGTTTTTACTTTACACCTCTCGCCCAGAAACCTTGTATTATTTGTTAAAAGTTAAAACAGTAGCTTATTGTGGATCTTAATCTTAAAAACCCTAAAAACTGAAAATCAAGTCCATTCTACGCTGGGCTCCATATAGACTGGGTAGAGAGATGTTGTGATCACATAACCGGTCTAGCTCGATACAGCCTGATCCTGATTTAGCTAGCTTTGCCTTTTTGGCCATGTTTCTAATTTATATTGTTTGATTCACATGCCAAGTTGCCAAATATAAAAACTAAACTGACGGGTTTTCGGGTTAGATCTTGTTACTTGGCTCAAATGGAATAAATCTTATGCCGATGAAAACATATAAAATTTATTTTGTAATCAAATACAAAAACTTATCCTTAAGGTTTTGCCCTAACTTAACATCTCTGATAGAATATTTGATAGTCAGTCGTTCTGCATTTTATATTAAAGAACAGTTTTTTAACAAGCTTTTAAACCATGTGATGTTGAAACGATAGTGCTAACTATGATGCTTAACAAGTCACATTATGCCAAATATTAGTTAGACAACATACATGTGAGAGTTCAGACTAATCTTGAAATTTTGTGTTTATCCAGTAAAACACTTGTGTGGTACACATGATATACATACAAATAATATGTTTTGATATGTTTCCAAGTGTAAAAAATCTTATAAACTAAAAGCAAGTTGAATGCTAGATAAATGTATGAATATTTGGTTTTGTGAGTAAGAGATTTGTTGAAGGAGAAGAGGACATAGGGAATTGCAAAGAAGCAAAAAAAGAATAATAGAAAAAAAAAACTATTGCAACCACAAGAAAAGGGTATAAGGACAAAAGAGAGTAATTGAGGGCTCGACATGGGGAATTACAAAGAAGCCAGAAAACCTTGGAACCACATGAAATAAATAAATGTCACTGTCACAAGAGATAATGAAATCACACTGTTGTGTTGTCTCATGCGTCTGTGTGTTTGTTTAGATCTGATCATCGACAAAGAACCACACATAAAGCAAAGCCACATTTTCATTTTAAAAGGACCCAATCAATCCCTATCTCTCTTCACATGCCCATTGAATCGAATCTCTTCTCATTTCTTCTTTTGTTTTGTTGGAGTTAGATAAATTCAAATGACCAACTAAAGTGTCAAAACCCTTATAGCCACAACCTCCACCATCTTCATCATCTCTCCATATAACCCACTCTACTACTCTTTCTTCTTCTGTCTCTCAATATCCTCACTGCTCAATAAGCAATGGTGAGTTAAATTTCTTTTGTCTCTGTTTTTTTTTTTTGTTGACTCTGTTTTCTGTCTTAATGGTTTTGATTGTCTCTAAAGGTTCATGTGTCATCGCATGGAGCTAAGGATGGTTCGGAAGAAGCCGTCGATTACAGAGGAAATCCACCGGATAAGTCCAAAACCGGTGGCTGGTTAGGCGCCGGTTTAATCTTAGGTACAATTTTCAGTCTCCAAATCATACAATAACTAAAATCTCCAGTGTTTCTAAGCTCCTCTGCTTTTTTGTATTAACTAAAAAATTCCTCTGTTTTTTGTAAGCTCCTCTGCTTTTTTTCTATTAACTAAAAATTTCCTCTGTTTTTTGTAACTTCCTCTGTTTGCTTTGAACTAAAAACTGCCTCTATTTCTAAGCTCCTCTGTTTTGTCTCTTTTAACAAAATGTGAAGGTAGTGAGCTATCGGAGAGAATATGCGTGATGGGCATATCAATGAATCTAGTGACGTACCTTGTCGGAGATTTACACATCTCATCGGCGAAATCAGCGACCATAGTCACCAATTTCATGGGAACACTCAACCTCTTAGGACTTCTCGGTGGATTCTTGGCTGACGCCAAACTTGGCCGCTACAGGATGGTCGCAATCTCAGCCTCTGTCACAGCTCTGGTAAGATCCTAAACCCATGTCCTTATATCTCGATTGGCTCTTGAAAAATTCTAAGCCCTGACTCTTCACATATGTTACAACAGGGAGTGTTACTATTGACGGTGGCTACAACCATCACGAGCATGAGACCACCACCATGTAACGATTACAGGAGGCTTCACCATCAGTGCGTAGAAGCAAACGGACACCAGTTAGCTCTTCTCTACGTCGCTCTCTACACCATAGCTCTAGGCGGAGGAGGAATCAAATCCAACGTCTCTGGTTTCGGGTCTGACCAATTCGACACGAGTGATCCAAAAGAAGAGAAACAGATGATTTTCTTCTTCAACAGATTCTATTTCTCAATCAGTGTCGGATCTCTCTTCGCCGTGATTGCTCTGGTTTACGTTCAGGACAACGTCGGGAGAGGCTGGGGTTACGGGATCTCAGCCGCGACTATGGTGGTTGCGGCCGTGGTTTTGCTCCTCGGAACCAAACGGTACCGTTTCAAGAAACCTAAAGGAAGCCCTTTTACGATTATATGGAGGGTTGGTTTCTTGGCTTGGAAGAAAAGAAAGCAGAGTTACCCTGCACATCCGAGTCTTTTGAACGGTTTTGACAACACAACGGTTCCACATACAGAGAGGCTAAAGTGTTTAGACAAAGCAGCGATTGTCGTAGACGAGAGCTCTCCTAGTTCGAAAGAGTTCAAAGAGAAGGATCCGTGGAACGTTTCCACGGTTACACAAGTCGAAGAGGTGAAGCTAGTTGTGAAGTTGATCCCTATTTGGGCAACAAACATTCTCTTCTGGACGATTTACTCCCAAATGACGACTTTCACGGTCGAACAAGCCACTTTTATGGATCGAAAACTCGGGTCTTTCACTGTTCCTTCAGGGTCCTACTCTGCTTTCCTCATCCTCACAATCCTTCTCTTCACTTCACTTAACGAGAGAGTCTTTGTGCCTTTAGCAAGAAAGCTCACAAAAAACCCTCAAGGACTCACCAGTCTTCAGAGAATCGGAGTAGGGCTTGTGTTCTCAATGGCTGCGATGGCGGTAGCTGCGGTTATAGAGAACGGTAGACGCGAGGCAGCGGTTTCAAACGGTAGAAATATAAGCGCGTTTTGGTTGGTTCCACAGTATTTCTTGGTTGGTGCGGGTGAAGCGTTTGCTTACGTTGGACAGCTTGAGTTCTTCATAAGGGAAGCACCAGAGAGGATGAAATCGATGAGCACGGGGTTGTTTCTAAGCACGATTTCGATGGGATTCTTTGTGAGTAGCTTGCTTGTCTCGCTTGTGGATAAGGTCACGCACAGAGGATGGCTAAGAAGCAACCTTAACAAAGCGAGATTGAACTACTTCTACTGGTTACTTGTTGTCTTGGGAGCATTTAATTTCTTGGTCTTTCTTGTGTTTGCAATGAAGCATCAGTATAAAGGTGAAGTGATTAGTTTTGGAATTGATGATTCAGTGGACAAGGAGAAGGAGAAAGAGAAAGAGAAAGAGACATCTGAGTTTGAGCTTAAGGACATTCCTTAAAAAAAAAAACCAGAGATTTGTCTTTAATTAGAAAGCTTTCTTCCATTTTCTTGGTTACTATTGCTTTGAAGATTTTCATCTTGTTTCTATAATGTGTGTATGAAATAGAAGAAATACTATATGGTTTGGATTGTAATTTTGTAAAATTTGAAACACTCATAATGAGTGTTTTTGCCTCATTCAAAAAAATTCTATAAAACGACGCGTTTCGTTCTTTTTAGAGGATACTGACATTTTTTTTATAAACGGAATCTATTTACTGGTGAGTTTGAGAAGAGAAGAAGAACTCAAGAAAGATTCGGCAAGAAACGTCTCTTTACCGATGGATGATGATAAGTCTCCATCGCCAGCGACGGATATGAAGGAGAAACTGATCAGAACCTTCATTGAAGCGACGTCTTTGTCGAGAAAAGATGCTGAATTCTTTCTTGAAATTCATCAATGGGATGTCGACGCCGCCGTAGCTGACGCCTCCGACTTCACTGAAAACAATATCGCCTCCGCCACCTCCGCCTCCGCCTCCGCATCCGCCGTCTCCGCCTCCGCCGAGCCAAATAGAATCCTCGCTGATTCGACTTCTCGACACAATCTCCCTGTTTCATCTCATTCTCAATCTGGTGGTGGTTCTTCCGATTACATTCCGACGTCGCCTCCTTCTCGTGCCACTTTCCGGGGACCCGCCGGGAACATATATACGCTCGCTGATATCTCCGGCGGAACCGAAAGCGATTCCGACGAGTCGCAGGAGTACGACGACGACGAAGCAGAGCCAGAGCGTTACCATATGTAATCTTCTCTTCCAAGCTTCACTATCTTTCAACATTTCTGTTTTGAGAAAATTAGGGTTCTCAAGGAAATCGAATCGTCTTTAACCTCCCCCGAAAATCTTGCTTAACAGTCTTTGTATTTAGAGTAAAGCCTCTATCTTTTAGTTTGAACAGAGGTATTGAATATGAACGTGTGTTACTCTGTTTTAGTATGACGATCTTTCTAGTTCCCAAGAATGGTGAAGAAGATTCAGATGAGCCTCAATACGAAACTCATCTGATCGTCATAGAGTATGTAACTGTGTGGAGAAATGGTTTCACTATCTGGAGGAATGGTTTCACTGTCGATGATAATCAGTTCGATTTTGTGGATAACCCGGAAGATGCAGCCTTTCTTGAGGTTTTACTTACTTTATTCAATTATATATATCTTCATGACATTCTCATCTTGTGTTATTACTACTTTTCTTTTTAGTATTACTAATTACATTCTCTGTTATTTTGATTCACTCCAGGAAGTGGAAAGAATGGAGCCACCACGTATACTCACTGAAGAGGATAACGAAAACATCCATCATTATGTCAAATTCATCATGCGTCAAGAAGAAGACTTCATTGTAAGTTTGTAACTGTACATACATTTGTCTCCTTCCTCTTTCTCTATATGTTCTTATGCCTTAAAACAACAGGTATCACCACCAGAACCGTTTACTCCATTCAACGGTGTTGGAATAAGGCTATCCAAAAAAGATTCTGTACCCATTGAGCCACCAGCTTCATCATCGAACTCACTGCCACCAGCAATGGACCTAGTGGTTGATCACGATGCGCCTACAACCTCGATTCAGATCAGATTAGCGGACGGCACACGCATTGTCTCTCGGTTCAATACTCACCATACCGTTAGAGACGTCCGTGGCTTCATAGACGCGTCTAGACCAGATGGCTCCAGAGTCTACCAGTTACTCAGCATGGGTTTTCCTCCTAAACCGTTGACTGACTTTGACCTAACCATCGAGGAGGCTGGCATCTCCAACTCTGTCCTCATCCAGCAAGACTAAGCTTCTTATTTTATTACATAAGATCAAATTCTTTAGTTATACAATCAGTGTTTGACCCTCATTTTTGACTCAGACCATCGGTCAACGATTTGTTTTCTTGGTTCATTAGATGAATACGGTATACTCTCTTGAGTGTGTATACATAAGTTTGAATTGTATAAAAATTGAATCTTTTTGGAACATTTTGAGAGTTGACCAAACTAAAAATTGGATCATTTTGAGAATTGACCAATTAGTTCTCCGTTTACTTTGAGGTTATAATGGTGAGTTGTTGACTCACCTGCCATACTGTCAAAACCGTGCGTGTCCATGTTATTGATTTTCTCTCTCTCTCTCTGTTCTCCTTTTTTTTTGTGATAAAGAAAAAACATTTAATATTGAAAATATCTGGGTGTTTCAGGTTGTTATTCGATTCAGAAGATAAGTGTAAATGGATTTACTGTAAAAACCCGTGGAGAAGGATAAGGAAGGACGATTAGTTTTTTTTTTTTTTGTTCTTCGTCTATTTTTGTTCATTACAACCTTAAATCCCTCTTACTTTTGATCTATTTTCTTATAGGATATTTTTTTCCCTGTCTGGATTTCATTTGCCTGTTCTCCCCTTTCTTCTCCTACCTTCTGCTCTCTCTCTCTCTCTCTCTCTCTCTCTCTCTCTCTCTCTCTCTCTCTCTCTCTCTCTCTCTCTCTCTCTTTCTCGCTTGATTCAATTTGGGCGAGAAAGGAGCAGTCTTTTTTCCAGGGTTTATCATTCACTTAATTCCCTTTGCTAAAGCTTATATATATTTTTTTTAAAGATTTCGTTAATTCCCTTCTCGGGTTGTTTAGATCTCTCTCTTACTCATCTGCGAAATGTAAGCTTTTCTCCTCTTAATTCATTTCTTAGATATGCTTGCTTTGATCTTAATTCGTGTGATTTTGGGTTCAGGGTTCAAGCTTGTTTGATGAACTGAGATTAGGGTTTCACTCACAGGGCGAATCTGGTTATGCTTAGATATTAAAGTCCGGGACTTTGTGACCTACTCAGAGCTGATTTTAGCTTTGATTCTTGTAGCGTCTTGTGTGCCATAGGTTTAGATATGATCAAACAGATATTTGGGAAATTACCCAGAAAGCCTTCGAAATCATTGCACAATGACTCGAATGGTGAAGGAGCGGTTAACTCCTATTACGCTCCGAATCAGACTAGTGGTATCCCGAAACCTTCTTCAACTTCTTCGAAACCATCAGCTTCACGTGTAGCAAATGGGACTCTTGCTCCTAACTCATTGACCTCTAACAGGACCAATCAAGAGAAGATATATCAAGCTTTGCCAAGCTTTAGAGACGTTCCTATCTCGGAGAAGCCTAATCTCTTTATTTCGAAGCTGAGTATGTGCTGTGTTGTATTCGACTTTAGTGACCCGTCCAAGAATCTTAGAGAGAAAGAGATTAAGCGGCAGACACTGCTCGAGCTCGTTGACTATGTCGCGTCAGTTGGTGTGAAGTTTAACGATGTTGCGATGCAAGAGCTCACGAAGATGGTATCTGTGAATCTGTTTAGAACATTTCCTTCCGCGAGTCACGAGAATAAAGCTCTGGAAATGCATGATATGGACGATGAGGAGCCTTCGTTGGAGCCAGCTTGGCCTCATATTCAAGTCGTGTATGAGATTCTGCTCAGATTCGTGGCTTCTCCCATGACTGACGCAAAGCTAGCAAAGAGATACATTGACCATTCTTTCGTCTTGAAGCTCTTAGACCTGTTCGATTCTGAAGATCAGAGAGAGAGGGAGTATTTAAAAACGATTCTCCACCGGGTTTACGGGAAGTTCATGGTGCATCGACCTTATATCAGAAAGGCTATAAACAACATCTTCTACAGATTCATTTCCGAGACAGAGAAGCACAATGGCATTGCAGAGCTGCTAGAGATTCTTGGGAGTATAATCAATGGTTTTGCTTTGCCTTTAAAAGAAGAGCACAAGCTCTTCCTTGTGCGAGCCTTGATACCTCTCCACAAGCCTAAATGCGCGTCGATCTATCACCAACAGCTTTCTTATTGCATAGTTCAGTTTGTAGAGAAAGACTTCAAGCTCGCTGATACCGTAATCAGAGGCCTTGTAAAATACTGGCCTGTGACTAACAGCTCAAAGGAAGTAATGTTTCTTGGAGAGTTAGAAGAAGTCTTGGAAGCAACTCAAGCTGCTGAGTTTCAAAGATGTATGGTCCCTTTGTTCCGACAAATTGCACGATGCCTCAACAGTTCACATTTTCAGGTTCGAGTCTTTTGGTTTTGTCATAACTTCACTCTTGAAAAGAAGTCTTGTACCTATAAGGAAGTTTGTGAATTTTGTTTGTCAGGTTGCTGAGAGAGCATTGTTTCTATGGAACAACGATCACATAAGAAACCTGATCACTCAGAACCATAAAGTGATAATGCCTATAGTCTTCCCTGCCCTGGAGAGAAACACGCGTGGACATTGGAACCAAGCGGTTCAGAGCCTGACTCTAAACGTGAGGAAAGTGTTTTGCGACATTGACCAAGCTCTCTTCGATGAGTGTTTAGCCAATTTCCAAGCGGAAGAAGAGAATAAACCAGAGGTTAAAGCGAAACGGGAAAGAACATGGGAGCGGTTAGAAGATTTGGCGGGTTTGAACACCAACGAGAAGGTGCTGGTCCCAAGATTTGTGTCCTCAGTTAATCTTGCAGCCAGCTCTGAGTCCACAGGGTAGGCTCTGGTTTGGTACTCTGTTTTACCAAAACGATACAAATTGGGCCCGGTTTAAGCTGTTTGGAGCAGCAACCCAGAAGATTTTAGAAAGTGATCAACGAGAGAGGAATGTGAAGTAATATCTCATTTCTCATCTGTGAATACTTTCTTTTAACAATTTTTTTTTTCGGTTTCTGGGTTTACTTCTTAGTTGCTTTTGATTTTCTTCTTCGATCAGTTCATGAAGAGGTATGGGCAACATATGTACTGTAAGAAACTATAGGGATGGTTCTTGAGAGACGACTTGTATAATTATTTTTTCATTAAATTTTCTGAATTAAATTGAGAATATTTGATCTGTTTTTCTTTGTATATAGTTTTATATGCGATCGGTACAATGTTTTCGAGCCATTATTAGCACACATTGATCTAATTATGCTATAAAAATAAAGTATAACTACTGATCTATTTATATTATATAGAGACTCAGTTGAGTCTCACCAGCTTGACACATAAGCACTTCATCTTTTGACACATCAATATTATTTTTTTAAAAAAAAAATTATTTAACTCAATTTTTCTGAAATTATGTCTCTTAAAATACCTAATCGTGAAAATCTGTATTTACATTAATCAAATCAATGACAACAAATTTTGAACGTTCTTCTACCCATTCCTCTTCCAAATTAACTCAATAGGTGGTATCTCATCATGCTTTTATTAATTAATTTGTAATTTGAGACTCTTCAATTTTATATATAGCTTCTGCCTTCTGATGTAAAGGATATAGTCTATGTGGAACAAGGTGGTGAAGCTCGTCTTCCCCCTTCTCGTACGTGTGTGGTCGAAATAAAAGAAGCACATGCCATGTAAATTTTCTCGACTCCTAATAATCCAATTCAGCAATTTGGAAGAAATCACATGATGTACATCAAATACCAACAACTAATTAAATATAAGGTATTCTATATAAAGTTTTTGTTCGATTCAGTTTTCGTTTTGAAGTTTCTAATCTATGATTTGGAATCTACAATTTTTTTGGTATATTATCTGAATTTAAGGAACTTCGAATGTAGAAGAAAGTATACGAAAGACAAATTTTGAAGAGTCACAATAATTTATGTGTTACAAAAATAGAATACTAAAAGGATAGTTTCAATATGAATCAGTTTATATTATTTTTTCTTAGAGGATCACTTTGTTTCAATATGATTGTTAAAGGGACATATACAGTAGCTACACGGATTGGTTTTAGTCATTAGTAGTATGATCTGAAGGTAGCAATTTTAGTTCCTTGCTCTTTGTTTTTTTTCTTTCTCTGTGCTGTGATGGAATTAGTGTTCATTGGCTTGGTCCGTGCATGGAGTTAAATACAAGATATTTAGAATGAAAGAATCCTCAAGTATTGCAACAAAAGTTCTTAACATTGTTTACCATAAGAAAATCTCCATGTGGTAAGGGTTATTAATTATTTTTAAGAATTTTGCATAGTGTACTATATTTCTTTGAGCTACTGCTGTTATATGAAAAAGTACTATATTTTGTTATCATAAATTCTCATAAGTTTTATATATGTGTGTGTGAAGTAGACGAAACTAAATGACAGAGATGATGAGAATGAAAGTTGTGTTATTGGGATTCTAAGTGTGCGGCAAGCGTTTGATGTTTGTGTTGCCCTTTTGTATGTCAACTTTACAATCTCTTTTTTTTTTGTTTTGGTAAAAAACTTTACAATCTCGTACGGCTGTTGTGATCAGTTTATTTTATATTGGTGTCAAATGATTTTTTTCACATCTCATTTTCCATTTTCTTATATTTTGTAGGTAACTATGATTTTAGTCCCTTAATTGGCTATGGCGAAGTTAGATTGCACGGTTATCTATGGTGAGACCAAAACTAAATCAAGAAAATATAATTTTTTACGTGTGTATTCGCAATTATGCGGTGGAATGAAAGAAATTATTATATATGTATGTATTAGCAATTATGCGGTGGAATGAAAGAAATTATGATATGGTAGGGTGTCTGTGCTATCCCCAATTAATCAACCACCTGGTTTTCATGATGAAGTACAAAACCTAAAATGGCTCTCAGTTGTATGAAACATATGGATATTAGCTTGGGGGTTTGAGACAGACACAAAAGAAATTCAGTTGACAATAGAAGCACAACATTGTATAAAGAATTTGGAAAAAAATTATGTAAAAAACCCATGTAGTATTTCTTCTTTAGTCTCATGTTGTAAAATTTTTTAATTAAATTTAAGTAAACAAAAATATACATATCAATCCAAATATGTTTTCTAAGGTTATAAATATTTTTTGGGTTTTTTTCTTTCATTTCCCAAAAAGAAAGTAGAATATTAAAAAGATTAGTATGTTTTGTGTTCGCATGTTATTTAAATGGCTTCATACAATTTTTTTAAAAAAAAATTCATCAAAATAATAAAAATTTCACATAATTGGAAGTAAGCGATTTCGAGTCTGCCAGTGATCAGTCTACATCAACAAATAATAGTTGGTAAATTTGGATAATATTAAAAAAATAACCCGCATGTATATGCGGGTATTCATCTAGTATTATAAAAAGATGATGCAAGATCTTTTCACTCATCTATATACAAAACGAAGGAAAATAGCAATAAAACGGAAAAAAGGAAAAATCAAACCGAAACTAACATAAAAGGACGTTAAATCGAAACTAAACTTATGTCTGCCCAAAAAAAATTCTTATAAATCATAATTCGGATAGATGATGCGTTCACATTACATCTTCCAACACAAATGGCGGTCTCTTCATATTTTGTTGTCTTGTTGACCAAAGACTTCTCACAAGCAAAGTTACTTTAATTGATCTTCAAATTGAAAATTAAAAACATTTTCCAATAATTAACAACGCTGATTAATATCTAATCATCATTCTCTGAGTTGAAAAATAAATCACGATTTAGTCAACCTTCTTCTCTTTCAAAACCTCTTCTTCTCTGGAAGCACAAGAAAAAAACACAGAGACCTCTGCAAACTAAAGAGCTTCCAAATTTTGCCCGTTTCTCTCCGGCGATGAATCTTTCTACTCCTCTTCTTCTTCTCTTCCTGTTCTTCTCGTCGACTCTGTTCTTCACGGTAGAATCTAAGTGCAGGGGAAGCTGCGGTTTAGCTCTGGCCTCTTACTACCTCGAAAACGGAACAACCCTCTCCGTCATCAACTTAAACCTCAATTCTTCACTCGCGCCTTACGATCAAATCAATTTCGGACCGATCCTCAGGTACAACAGTAACATCAAAGACAAAGATCAGATCGAGATGGGTACTAGGGTTCTTGTGCCTTTCCCTTGCTCATGTCAAGAAGGCGATTTCCTGGCCCACACGTTCACATACCGTGTCCGATCGGGGGATACTTACGAGAAAGTCGCGAATAGTCATTACGCGAATCTCACGACGGTCAGGTCCTTGCAGACGACGAATACTTTTCCGGCGACTAATATCCCGCCCTCTGCGATGCTTAACGTGTTGGTGAATTGCTCTTGCGGAGATGAGAGTGTTTCCAAGGATTATGGGTTGTTTGTTACTTACCCTCTTCGTCCTGAGGATAGTTTAAGTTCGATCTCGAGCTCTTCCGGTGTACCGGAAGAGATTCTGCAGAGATATAACCCTGGTGTCAATTTCAGATCAGGGAATGGGATTGTCTTCGTGCCTGGAAGAGGTAAGATATGTATCACTTTTTGAAATTGATCTTGGATGATTGTGACACAGATTCATAGAATAGTAATGATTTCTTGTTTCTGTTCTTGCAGATCCAAGCGGTGCATTTCCACGTTTCATATCAAGGTTGTGTTTTCGTTTTGGTCATTGCATCTCTCTTGCTTCTTTAATTTCTATTACCTGATTGTAATTCTAACTCTGTTTTATGTTTGTGTAGTAAACAAGGTTGGTTCTTTTCTCCATTTCTGAGCTTATGATGATTTCTACACGAGGATGTAAGAAGAAAGAGGAAACTTGAGAGAATGTTTTTGATATTCTTTTGCATAAGCAGGTGGTATTGGTGCTGGAGGTATTGCTGGTATATGTGTAGGAGTCTTGGTGGCTCTGTTGTTAATCTCGTTTGTTGTATGTTATGGTTACCGAAAGAGCAAGTCGAAGAATGGTTTGCTTTCATCTTCTATCCCACTGTCTTCTAAGGCTGATCAGGGTATTTGAGATGATTCCATACACAAACAGTACTTTAATGTTCCTTTTTTAGCTTACTAAATTTGTCAACCTGCTTTTTAGGTTCTGCAATTAGCCTCCAAAGTAGCGACTTGGTTGGTACAAGAGCCACTCCTGGCATTGCTGCCATAAGCGTGGACAAATCTGTTGAGTTTACGTTGGAGGAGCTTGCAAAGGCTACTGATAATTTCAATCTGTCTTTTAAGATTGGGCAAGGAGGTTTTGGTGCTGTTTACTATGCAGAGCTTAGAGGAGAAGTAAGCAGAGATTCTTTTTTTTTAGCTTTGTTAGTGTGGATTTGTTTCTTTGGAGCTACACATAGAACATTGAAGTTATTTGCTGTGTATACGTTCATGTATAGAAAGCTGCAATCAAGAAGATGGACATGGAGGCATCGAAACAGTTCTTGGCGGAACTAAAAGTCTTAACGCGTGTACATCATGTTAATCTGGTAAAAGCCCTTTTTTGCTTTCTGAAGATATATCTGACATCAGTTCTTGATTAGATTTTTTTTCAGTTAACAAACTAATTTTTTCTTGCAGGTTCGTCTGATTGGCTATTGTGTTGAGGGATCTCTTTTCTTGATCTATGAATTTGTTGAGAATGGCAACCTTGGACAACATTTACATGGATCAGGTACACAAAGGATACTCCAAAAACAGAGAATGGAATCACTTTTTGAAGTACTAATAAGTTGAAAGTAGCGATCAATAATAGAAACTAAGGAGTGTTATATGTAACCAGGACGAGATCCTCTACCGTGGACTAAGAGAGTGCAGATTGCGCTAGATTCAGCTAGAGGTTTAGAATATATCCACGAGCACACGGTTCCGGTTTATGTTCATAGGGACATTAAATCTGCCAATATATTGATAGACCAGAGCTTCAGAGCAAAGGTGATTCTTAATTTCTCATTGCCAATCAAAGGTGTAAATAATGAGATAAAAGAGAATGTTTTTTGCTTTGTCATGGCGCTGAGTCGCTTTGGTGTTACAGGTCGCTGATTTCGGTCTAACAAAACTGACAGAAGTTGGAAGCTCAGCTACACGTGGTGCAATGGGCACATTTGGTTACATGGCACCTGAGTAAAGAACTCGATCTCATTTCTCTCTACATATGGCAGATTGATTGTATATATAGTTAGGTACATGGTTATAGTAATGGGAATAAATATGTAATTGCAGGATTGTTTATGGAGAAGTTTCTGCAAAAGTAGATGTATATGCATTTGGAGTTGTGCTTTACGAATTGATTTCTGCGAAAGCCGCCGTTGTCAAATTGAACCAATCCAGTGGTGAATTCAGAGGCCTTGTTGGTGTGGTTAGTGCCTTTTTTTTTTTTTGCTTCTTTAGCATTTCGTCTTTCTAATTCAAGAAATGTACGGTCACTTAACATTTGCTTTCTTTTCTTTATTATGCAGTTCGAAGAAGTATTCAAGGAGACCGGCAAAGAAGAAGCACTACGCAAGATTATCGACCCGAGGCTTGGTGATAACTATCCGTTTGATTCGGTATATAAGGTAATCTCTCAAACGCTTCCCAAATCCTTTTGGTCATTCTAGTTAAGGTGTGACCAATCCGGTTTAACCAAACCAAAATAGTAACAAAATCCAAATCGAACCAAAAAGGAAACAAACCGAGCCAAATGCTAGTTACAATCTGGAAACTCGGAAAATCGAACCTGAAACCGGACTGGACATAGCTAATTGTAAAACCTGGTCAAAGCTAAACCAAGCAATGTGATGATTTTATGTTTTTTTGTGTGGTTTAGATGGCGGAATTAGGGAAAGCTTGTACGCAAGAGAATGCGCAGCTACGACCAAGCATGAGATACATAGTGGTTGCTTTATCCACTCTGTTTTCTTCAACCGGAAATTGGGACGTCGGAAACTTCCAGAACGAAGATCTTCTCAGTCTTATGTCCGGCCGGTAAATTTTGCGGTTTGCTGATTTATAGAAATGATTGTTTTTTCGTTAACTTATAAATTAGTATTATTGATTTTTGTTAGCAACACTCCGTATATTCCCCATACGAACATTACACGTCACCTGTTGACTTTTGTATAATTTTGTATAACTCATTGTCAAGTTCGACGTCTACAATCTCAGCATCTCACGTCAATGATTATAATGAAAGGCACCATTATATTATGAAAAAAAAGTATTAAGAGTAATACCATTTTCTTTCTTTTCAAGGACATATATATGATCTATATTGCTATTATAGACTTACAGTATTATACTATATATATTTATATCTTCCGTTGTCATTGTTTGTAACGATTACCGAATGACACTAAGTTACCTTAAATTGAGAAATAATTAAATCAAATCCTTTATTACAAAGGTAGATCTTCTTCCCTAAACCTTTTGACATTTTTGTCTCTAAACTTTTTTGAAATCAAGGAATAGAAAATAATTTGCAAAACGTTAAACAAAAGCCGACGTCAGAAAAAAAGGAAAAATATAAAATAGAGCCGTTTTTGAACATGTTAACGCGGCCTGGCCTATATGGCACAATAACCATTATTATAGTACTATTTGATTTTCAAAAGAAACTGAAAATGAAACAGTAACGGACAATCTCCCATTTAAAACTACAAAAACATTTATTAATTGTTTTTTATTTTAAAATTATTAGCTCTCTAATTTTATTTACCAAAATTAGCGTTTGCCAGGTGACAACATGCAACACTAATTTAATGTGTTAATTAAATATTATTTATTAATTTATTCATAACACCCAAAACGTATGAATCAGCAGAAATCTTACTTCAGTTGAATCTTGGATCGATTTCCCAAATAAAACCCATATAGAAATAAATCTTTCATTTTTATTTTAATTAATGATTTTCCTTGTTCTTCTTCTTCTTCTGATCCAAGACTCTTCTTCTTCTTCAGCTGCAGAGTCTGCAGTTTCGTCTTAATCGTCTCCTTCCTCTACACTTTGTTTGACTTCAACAATACAGATTCTCTCACTGAGCTCTTAAACAAGGTAATTGAAATCTCAATTATTATTTTTTTCAGTTGATTCATTGTTCATTGGATTTGACGGAATTTGAAAAGATAATGCCTAAGACCCGAAGATTCCGGTTTCTTGGTTAAACGAAAAAATAAAAAATGGAGAAAATTTCGGGACAATTTTCTTTAGATTTACACTTGTATAGTTGTATTAGCATAGTTCATAGATTATGTTTCTCGATTCCGCTCTTCTTGTATTAACTAAAAATTCGCAATTTTGGAAAATTTTCAATTACTCTCTTCTCTTTCTCTGTCTCTCTTGGATTGCAAGAAACACTAGCTAAGCTTTTAACCTCTTCGTTGTATCTAATGTTCAGGAAGATTTGATCTTTCTCAAAAGCCATGGCTACACTAAACGATATCGGAGTTGCAGCAGCGATCAACATTTTAACTGCATTCGCATTCTTCATCGCCTTTGCGATCCTTAGGCTTCAACCTGTTAACGACAGAGTCTACTTCCCTAAATGGTATCTCAAGGGCTTAAGAAGCAGCCCTATCAAATCAGGTGGCTTTGCTAGCAAGTTTGTCAACTTGGATTTTCGTTCTTACATCAGATTCTTGAATTGGATGCCTCAAGCACTGAGAATGCCTGAGCCTGAGCTCATCGATCACGCCGGTTTGGATTCTGTTGTCTATCTTAGGATTTACTTACTCGGGTATACATAACATATCCGTAAAAACCCTTTTCTTGTTCTTGAACGATAGTGTTGCGATTTTCTTGAACAATGAGGTTTGAAAATGCAGGTTGAAGATCTTTTTCCCAATAGCTTGTATTGCTTTTACAGTAATGGTGCCGGTTAATTGGACCAACACGACATTGGATAAGTTGCAGAATCTAACTTTCAGTGACATTGATAAACTCTCTATATCAAATGTGCCAAATGGATCATCGAGGTATATTATATGGCTGTGATTTGTTGGTAATGTGATTTCGATAGATACCTCTCTTTGATCCTATTCTTGCTCATTTATGGACAGGTTTTGGGTGCATTTGTGTATGGCTTATTTTATTACCTTCTGGACATGTTTTGTACTACAACGAGAGTACAAGATTATAGGTTCCATGAGGCTACAGTTTCTTGCTTCTGACCAAAGGAGGCCTGACCAGTTTACAGTTATTGATATTCATGAATCTCTTGTCCTACTCAGTTTTAGTTCTAAGATTGAGTATTATATGTAATTGTCTTTTTCTTTGATTAATTCTAGGTCCTGGTGAGGAACATTCCTCCAGATCCTGATGAATCAGTCAGTGAGCTTGTTGAGCATTTCTTTAAGGTCAACCATCCAGACTACTACCTCACTTACCAGGTAAAACATCTTTGGTTGTCTGACTTAGGATGTCCATTTCAGTTTTCGGTTTGAGTCATCTTCTGGTTTAACAAAACAGGCGGTCTACAATGCAAACAAACTGTCGGAACTGGTTCAGAAGAGGAAAAAATGGCAGAATTGGCTTGATTACTATCAGAACAAACACTCTAGGAATCCATCTAAAAGGCCTGTAATCAAGGTAAAACAACACATTTCAATCACATTGCTTTCCTCCTTTAGAAAGTAATCTTCTTGATAATCCTTCTACTTCCCTGAGCAGGTTGGTTTTCTTGGCTGTTGGGGTGAGAAAGTTGATGCAATCGATCACTACATAGACAAAATCGAGGGTCTAACGAGAAAGGTAAAGGCGTCAAGTAATCTTGTGCCACCTTGTTGCATTGATCCTCTTAATCAAAACTTTTACTTTTGATGGTTTTTCAGATAAGTGAAGAGAAAGAGACGATAATGAGCAGCACAAAATCGCTCGTGCCCGCAGCTTTTGTGTCCTTCAAAAGGCGTTGGGGAGCAGTTGTTTGCTCTCAAACTCAACAGTCAAGAAACCCAACAGAGTGGCTAACCGAGTGGGCTCCAGAGCCACGAGACATCTACTGGGACAATCTTGCATTACCTTACGTCCAGCTCACAATCCGAAGACTAGTTGTAGCCGTGGCTTTCTTCTTCCTCACTTTCTTCTTCATGATCCCTATAGCCTTCGTGCAGACACTCGCCAACATTGAAGGCATCGAAAAGGCTGTTCCTTTCTTGAAACCTCTCATCGAAATGTATTATACATATACAAGTCTCAACCTTTTGCTCCTTTGCTCAAAAGATGGTTTCTTGAATTCTTGATTTCTCTTTTTTGTGGACAGGAAAACTGTAAAGTCATTCATCCAAGGATTCCTTCCTGGTATAGCATTGAAGATATTCCTCATTGTCCTCCCAAGCATACTCATGCTAATGTCGAAATTCGAAGGATTCATAAGCAAATCTTCGTTAGAGAGAAGATGCGCGAGCAGGTACTACATGTTCCAGTTCATCAACGTTTTCCTCTGTAGCATCATCGCCGGCACGGCGCTTCAGCAGCTCAACAGCTTCTTAAACCAATCTGCAACAGAGATCCCTAAGACGATCGGTGTGTCGATACCTATGAAAGCCACTTTCTTTATAACTTACATAATGGTGGACGGATGGGCCGGTGTTGCAGGAGAGATACTGAGGTTGAAGCCATTGATAATCTATCATCTCAAGAACTTCTTCCTTGTGAAAACAGAGAAAGACAGAGAAGAAGCAATGGATCCAGGAACCATAGGGTTCAATACCGGTGAACCACAGATACAACTATACTTCATTCTCGGTCTTGTTTATGCAGCTGTTAGCCCTATTCTCCTTCCTTTTATCCTCGTCTTCTTCGCCTTAGCTTACGTTGTTTATCGTCATCAGGTCAAAACTCTGCCTCTCTAGAATTCTATCCCAAGCTTAACTAAGATCTAACACTAGCTTGTTTCGTCGTTGTTGCAGATTATTAATGTGTATAACCAAGAGTACGAGAGTGCTGGATCATTCTGGCCTGATGTTCATAGACGTGTGGTGATTGCTCTGATCGTATCACAGCTTCTTTTGATGGGTTTGCTTAGCACGAAACGAGCAGCTCGTTCGACTCCATTGCTTTTCATACTTCCTGTGTTAACCATTGGGTTTCACAGATTCTGCAAAGGACGTTACCAACCTGTGTTTGTCACATACCCTTTACAGGTTCTTTGTAGTGTCTTTCTCTGCTCTATGAGTCTCTCCTTTCTTTGTATCTTAATGAGAGATGTCTCTTTTGTGTTCAGGATGCGATGGTTAAAGATACCTTGGAACGCACGAGAGAGCCGAATTTGAACTTGAAAACGTTTCTTCAAAACGCGTATGTGCATCCGGTGTTTAAAGCGGCGGATAATATTGGTAATGAGATGGTTGTGGAGGAGCCACAGCCTGATCGGACGCCGGATTTAGTGGCCACTAAACGAGGCTCAAGGAGACATGTTAGTAGTGGCTCATTTGAAACCTTGAGTTAGTGATAAGTTTTTTTGATGAGATTGTTATGTTTTTTTCTCATGAATGAGTGATTTTATTATAGGTTTATGGAAGAATTTTACCAAATTTATTGTGCTTTTTTTTTTTTATCATATCAGTCTCTTTAGAAGTCAGGAGAACAAAATGTATAGAGATGAAGAATTGATTGATAAGCTCAAAGAGTAAATACAAAAATGCTTCTGATCAATTTTTTGGGAATAAATAAAGTTCAAGATATAAATCATGATTTTCGAAGGTAAAGTAAATGAATTATCTTATTTTTTAATCGGTAAAATATATTCGATAATCTATGTGATGAAAATGTTATTTTCTATAGAATGAACTATGAAGAACTTGACGACAGAGTTAAGTTTCTAATGAAATAGAGATTTTCATAAAATGTATGTAGTAAACCAAAAGTCCAAAATAAAATATATTAAAAAAATGTACGTAAAATTACTAAATTAATTTACTTTCACAGTGATTGTTCCTTCAAAATTACGGAATAACACAAAAGTCCAAAGCTTTATCAAATTTTCCAATCGTGTGCTTCTCCAGAAATATCTGACCTTTTCTCGTCGACATTTTAATCTTCGCAAATTTCTGATTGATCGAAGCAGAGATCGGGATTTTTTGCGGTGGAGAGATAAGCTCACAATGGACGAGGTGATGAAAGTGGCGGACGCGGGATCGTTAGGAGGCGGAAATAGGGCCTTGTATGGATCTCCTCCGTCGCAGTATAATCTGCTTCCTCACAATCTTCCGATCTTCTCCGCTTTTCTAGCATTCGGTCTTGCTCAGTTCCTCAAAGTTTTCACTAATTGGTCCGTTCAATCTTCACCTCAATTGTTTCCGATTTTGTCCGATCTGCTAAGATTTTGATGCGTTTTCCCCAGCTTCATTCGCTTTGTTTCGATTCTCTGTTGAGACGAATTCATGCGATTCTCTCGTTTTTTTTTCGATTACGTTTTGATTAGTGAGAAATTCTAGTGGAATCGAATGGCTTTTTGCTCCAATTTGACGAATTTCTGACTGTTAGGTTTTCGTCTCCGATTCGATTGTTTGGAAATTAAGAACTTTTTGCTTACCCTCTTTGTGCTTTGTTGATTTTGTTTTCAGAATTTGAAAGTTGTCTTTTTGTGCAGCTATAGATATGTTCTAGTTAAGATACATAGATCCTTACAGAGCGAAAGATAATGTTAGATGGAGATGATAATGGATTTGAGAACATGTGATAATTTCAGAAGTAAAATTCTCAGTTGTTTCATGGTGTATGTTAGATGTTCAGGTACAAAGAGAAGAGATGGGACTCTAAGCGGATGATTAGCTCCGGTGGTATGCCATCGTCGCACTCAGCTACCGTCACTGCCTTAGCTGTTGCCATAGGCCTAGAAGAAGGAGCAGGATCACCTGCTTTCGCTATCGCTGTTGTTTTGGCATGCGTTGTGAGTTTTTCTTCTCTCTTCTTGTTTCCGTTTCAAATGTCTCTTACAATGTTGTCCCTGTGCCGTTCCTTGAATTAGTTACAAAACTCTTCCCAAGCTATTAGTTTTGAGAGGATTGCTTCGCTTTTATGTTTCACATGTATCGAATCTACAAAGTAACAGCTTCTTTCACTTGGTGTGAAAAGAGTTTTTGATTTCGCTTTTATCATACGCTTTGTTTACTCCATCTTTCTTCTTTTCCTCGTGAATAGCTTCTTTGTATCCATATCAAAACCAAACCATCTTACCTCTATCTTTGGTATGTTTCTAAATTGGGTTGCAGGTAATGTATGATGCCTCTGGGGTCAGGCTTCATGCTGGTCGTCAAGCTGAGGTAAACCCATAGAAAAACTTAAAGCTCTCTAGTAGGATTGTTTCATGTTTTTGACAACCGCAAGCCTTTTCATATGAATGGAAATTTCAGCTGCTTAATCAAATTGTTTGTGAGTTTCCTCCGGAGCATCCGTTATCCACAGTCAGACCCTTACGTGAACTGCTTGGCCACACTCCTATTCAGGTATGCTAAACTCAGAAGTTATATTTCTTTCTTTTATCTGTCTATCAAAGGTTTTGGTGTCTATGGTATATCTGTTCTGTAAATAAAATTACTAGATTTCTTGGTATATCTCAAACTATTGGTACTTGTGAAACTTCTGAGGCAGCCTACCAATTCGAAAATGTGTATTTTCCATTAATGACTGTGTCATAGCAATGGCAGAATCAGATCCTACGCTGCATGTTCTGCTTTTTCCTTAAGCTAGAACATTACAACTGAAGTGTCTCCATATGTCGCCATGTTTGTTGATGTTAAGATCACAGAGCTAAGTTCTGAGATTGAATTTGTATAGGTTGCGGCCGGCGGCATTTTAGGATGCTTGGTAGCGTATTTGATGAGGAGCACAAGCTAGTGTCTACCCAACAACGGATCCAAAATTCTTTTGAAATCAAGAAAACTGTAGATTCATCAGCGATCAAGCTGAGGGAAGATTATTATTGGAGTAAATGGAAATTGGAAATTGTTAAATCTGTGTAATATATAGATCATAGTTAGCCTTGTCTTTAAGTGCACTGACTTGTCATTGTTTAAGCTATTCCTTCTCAACACTCTTATCTATAATATGTATTTTCTCTTCCCTAATTATTACCCTTGAATACACTGTTAAGGTATTGATCCTCATGAGTCAGCATTACAGTTCTTTAATTGACTGTGCCATAGCAATGAGGAATCAGATTCAGATTCCTGTGTTTCACGTTCCTTTTCCCTTTAGTGTCTATTGATTTAAAACTCAAGAGAGTGTCCAATAATTGTAGTAAGCTTGTGTAAGGTGTCTCTGGTTGTTAAAAAGTTGACATGATGTCACATTTGGATAAACATTAATTATTTTCAAGATCAAGACATATAAGACTATTCATAAGCTTCATATAGTTTCTGTGACCAATCATGAAACACTGACAGTTGTGTAGACCTACGTATCTTCAGTTAACTAGGTCCCGCAGAACTTGTGTAATAAAATACACGTGTATGTGTATTTGTGTATACGTGTACATGTATTTGTACGTGTAGATGTGTGTAACTGACGTCGTAAAGTGTTGTTCCCATATCCATATCCACCGAAAGTGAAGAAAACTGTGGAAGCAAGAATTTATTCACTCGACAGAAGATATGAATTAAAATTACAAATATCCTAACAAAAGCTAGAAAAGAAAACAGTTTTCTTTAAATAATCTCATCCTCTGTTTCTAGATTACAAAACCTCTCTTAAGAGAGCATCTCTCTGAAAAAATTTGAAGAGAAGGACACTAACAAGAAGAAAATGGGATGTTTCGGATCATCAAAAACTTCAAGAACAAGAAACCAAGAACGAGACACGACTCGACAAAACCAACCTCCTCAACATCATCAACACCAAACCGTGAGAGCCGAAGAAGTTCTGTTACTTATTCCGAGATGCAGGGTCCATCTCATCGACGAATCCGAGGCCGTGGAGCTCGCCTCCGGTGATTTCAAGCTCGTTAAAGTCACAGACAAAGGCGTGACTCTCGCGATGATCGTCAGAATTGGACATGACCTTCAGTGGCCGGTTATTAGAGACGAGCCGGTAGTGAAACTCGACGCACGTGACTACCTCTTCACGCTTCCGGTTAAAGACGGAGACCCGCTTAGCTACGGCGTCACTTTCTCCGGCGACGACAGAGACGTAGCCATGGCGAGTAGCCTGAAGTTGCTTGACGAGTTCTTGAAGGAGAATTCTTGCTTCTCGTATTCGGATTCAAGTAAAGTTAAGAATGGAATCGACTGGAAAGAGTTTGCGCCGAGGATTGAAGATTACAACAACGTTGTTGCTAAGGCTATTGCTGGAGGAACAGGACATATCATTAGAGGAATCTTTAGTTGCAGTAATGCTTACACCAACCAGGTTTTATTCACACTCATATATAATATACTCTCTCCGATTTTATTTTTTTTATTTTTGATAAGATGTTTTTGTGTCTATTTTATTTGACTTTTTTTAAGTTCTCTATGCAAAAATTGTAAAAGGTTCATTTGATATTTTGTGACGATTTTATTATGTTTGGTTGAGTTGTTTTTGGTTAGGTATTAAATAATGTTTATATGATAGAATAGGTTCACAAGGGAGGTGATATAATGATTACAAAGGCTGAGGAGAAGAGTGGTGCACCCCAGAGAAATGGAAATTACAATAATGGAAAGTCCAGTACTGAGAAGCAAAATGGAATCAACACAAATCTTCAAAGGTACGTATTCATTCGCTCTTTGTTTTAATCTCTAGATTTTCATTTCTTACAAACTATATCTTATAACCTTCCCATTAAATTTGGCACGCACGTTTACCAATAACAAAAATATTTTGTTTAAAGCTCTTTGGATTCATTTGGACAAAATACATTGTAAATGAACATATATATAAACGTAAATGCAAACCTAAATGTACAAAACAATTGGTCGAGATCATCTAAATATTTGGTTCTTGATTCTTTTGATATTGTGGTTGCTTTGTTGGATCGATGTTAATTATATATATATATATAGAGTGAGGAAGCTATCACAAGCGACTGAGAAGCTGAGCAAAACGATGTTAAACGGTGCTGGAGTTGTGAGCGGCTCTGTGATGGTTCCTGTGATGAAGTCGAAACCAGGGATGGCCTTCTTCTCCATGGTTCCAGGGGAGGTCCTCTTGGCTTCACTTGATGCCCTTAGTAAGTTACAAAGAAGAGAGAATATCTGTGAATATAATGAAATGAAATGTTCCTTTAGGGGGGGTCAAAACTCAAACAAATACTAAAAAGTTATGGGGTGGGTGAAGACATTATTCAGATGTAATTAATGTTTGGTTTGATCAAATAGATAAAATACTAGATGCAACTGAAGCCGCAGAGAGACAAGCTCTATCTGCTACATCCAGGGCTGCTACCAGAATGGTCAGTGAGAGGTAACAAGTTCACCTTATATACTTTTCAAATTTGAGATTCATTCATGTATTACACGATATGTCATTAGTGATCATACTCATTACGGTGATAATAAATTGATAAGGACATGTTTGGCAAAGCAGGTTTGGAGAGAACGCAGGGGAGGCGACCGAAGACGTACTAGCAACCGCAGGCCACGCGGCTGGAACTGCATGGAATGTTCTCAAGATCCGCAAGACTTTCTATCCTTCATCTTCTCTCACATCCGGAATCGTCAAAAATGCTCCAAGAAAGTGATCACAATGACACAATGGGTTATATTTCAGTTACTTTTAATCGATGCAAAACCAAAACCAAGCTTAGCTTTTCATATTTAGATTCTCTACATAAAGCACAAGAAAGATTATCAGCTCTGCTTTAGTTGTATCATGTATGTAATAAAATAAGTTCTGCATTATAAGCATGATAATCAAAAAAAAAAAGCGAACATAAGTTTTTTTAACTTGAAATAATAATTATTATCGAAAGTCACCAATTTATTTAGCTATTTCGATAATTAGATTTATAAAATCTCAAATCATTGTTATTAAGATGATAATAATATTTTGTCACAAAAAAAGAGAAACATGCAGTTTCATATTGGTCAACCAAATAAATTTTAGGGAGGAAATACTACACTAACCTTAAAAAGTATCTATATTACTGGTTCGACGCACTTTTATTTTTTTTACAAAACTAACCTAGCATACCCAAAACACCCTTTTCGCCTTTGTTAAAAAAAATCTTATTACAAAAATGCCATTACATTTTTAATGCCACGTAGGCAGATTTTGGCGCTAAAAATTTCATAAGTCTACCAAGCTTTGACGGTGACTTATGAAATTTTGGTCAACGCAGAAATTTTGTTGGTAGAGTTATTAGGGCGATGGTAGATTTATTTAAGAGTTGGTAGAGTTTTTAAATGTTGGTAGACTTTTCTTGGTAGAGTTTTGACGATGAGAGGTAGATTTATGGTATTTCGGTAGATTTGTTGTTATGAATGGTAGACTTGTCAAAAGTTTTGGTAGACTTGTTAACAAAAGCGTTGACTTTCTCGCATAGTTGACTTTTTCGGTAGATTTATTGACAATGAAGTAGATTTATTTTCTGAGTTGGTAGACTTATTTCCTTTAGCGGTAGATTTATATGAAAAAAGTTGTCAATACGTGCGGTAGACTTATCTGTTTTATGGTAGAGTTATATATAATTGGTAGAGTTTTCGCTTTTGTGGTAGATATGTTTGACTTGTGGTAGATTTAATTCAGTTAAAATTCATTCCGGTTAGTGGTAGATTATATGTTACATGAGGTAGACTTAAAAACTGTTGGTAGATTTATTTGTTTTGTGGTAGATATGTTTGTTTTGTGGTAGACTTATATTTTAAATAAATTTCATTCTGATTTGTGGTAGATTAATAATGACATGAAGTAGACTTACAAGATGTTGGTAGATTTGTTTGTATGTTTGATAGAGTTTATGTAATCTGGTAGACTTATCGGCCGTATGGTAGATTTTTTGAAATGACAATGTGGTAGATTAATTAAGTTTGGTATTTACAGAATTAACCTTGATCTGGTAGACATATGACATGCTTATGGTAGACTTGTTTATATGGTAGAGTTATTTGTTATGCTTGAGGTAGACTTACTAGTTAATGTTTGGCAGACATTTGACTTTATGGAGTAAAATTACTTTTTTGTCCAAAAGAATTGTTCTATCTACAAAAAAACCTACTGTTTGGTAGACCTTATGGTTCAGTGTTGTACGTCTTGCAATTTTCGTCCATATGGTAGACTTATGGTAACGGTAACCCATAAACCGTTACCAACGAACCGTCGCATCGATTTAGAGAACTTCTCTTGATGCATTTTCCAACGAACATTCTCATCGATTTCGAGAACTTCTATTGACTCGAGTCGCTTCGAGTTCTCTTGTGAGTTCTCTATAAATACCACAACCGAGACGATTCATTTCCCATCCCGCTAAACCCTATGGCGAATCTCGAGTCGCTTCCTTCTGATCTTTTGTACGAGATATTGTTAAAAATATCTTCAAACTCGTATACGGATCTTTGTCTTGCAAAAGTTTCGTCCAAAACACTTAACAACATCTCTAACGAAGCGGGTTTTCTTAGGAATGTTGATTTAATCAACATTATCTTGCCGTGGAGGTGGGATGTTCATGGAAGGGTCGGTGCATTCTTCAGTCGGTGCTTGGCGGCAGGAAATCCATCCGCACAATTGCGAAGAGGTTTATCGCTGATTTTCTTCGAACATAACCTCCAAGCAGGGTGTGATTTCATTCAAATGGCATCAGACAACGGATTTCTCATGGGTAAGTACTGCCACACTATGTTACATCTAACCATGGATGGCACATCAGAGGTATTCAACTCTGTCAAAGCTCTCTCCCGGGAAGATGCAAAGAAAATGAGATTGACAATGGAAAAGATCTTCATGCCTGCGTTCAATTTCCAGAAGCCCGAGGAACTGGTGGAAATGGTTTTCCAGGCTTATAAAAAGTCTTTAAGTACAAGGATTTGTGGTTGTCTCAAAGTACCAGACATGCAATGGATGGGAGATGAATACCTGCTAGAGACGTATGGGGATCAACTTTGTGAATCCTGCTTCTGGAAATTGGAGTGTGCCAATTTCTGGTGGGTAGTAC